ATTATTATTATTATTATTATTATGCATGTCAACTTCTTATTTGGTTGAACTAAGACTGAAAACATAAACCTGAACCAGACAAACTCGTTTATTTCCCCCTCCATAAACCCTGACGGTTCCTCCTCAGGTGCAGCTTAAATTAAAATGTCTTCTTATTAATGCGAGGGACTGAGCTGGGTCCCCCCCCCCCAGGTGTGTAGGATAACATAGCTGTAACCGGAAGTGAGCAGGTGAGGTTAATTAGTGACCAGAACAGAGTTACCTGTTCTCCCTCCTGTCATCTGGTCTGACAAACATCTGGAGACACTTTCTGTCTCGTTATCCAGCTYTGACGGAAAGTTTGAAGGTTTAAAGTTATTTATTTTAGTGTTAAAGTACAGAAACCATCACACTCCTGATGCTTCCTAACAAAAGTTACTTGTTGCTGTAAACAAATAATCTGTCAAACCAACAAGTCCTTCAGTTTCACATGGAGGGAACAAATAGATTTTCAGTCATTTTCAAGAGAACAAAGATTGATTATCAGAGTGTTTGTTTGTTTGTTTGTTTGTTTGTTTGTTTGTTTGTTTGTTTGTTTGTAAAACTCTCAGGATGTAAGGATAAAACTGATTTGATTAAAACTCAGTTAATTTGAAATTAAATTGAAATTATTGAAATTTTATGATTTGCTTGATTGTTACATGTTGTTAGTTATGTATAAATCTCACCAAAAGACATTATTACACCCAGGAAAACTTTAAGAGAGAGMGAGAGCTGTTATAATCTTAAAGGGACAGAGATGTTCATGAAAACTAAGTGTAGAAGCGGTTTGATACAGCTCAATCCAAGGAGTCAGATTATGGAATGTTCTGGAAGATGATATTAAAAGTGCCGAATCACTGTACATGTTTAAAAGGTTGGATTGTTGAAAAAACATGAAATTGTGTAACGTGGGTTCATATAATTTGTTGTTCTTGAAAGATTTGATGTTTTTGTTTAGCTTTGTGTTTTATTGTTTAAATTTATACTTGAGGAAAGAGGCAGATATTCTAAGATTTTTCTTCTTCTCTCTGCTGCCTTTCATTTCATTTTATTTGTGTTTTCTTTTTGTTGTACATAGAATTAAATTTTGCTTTTTAAGAAATGAGTAAAGTTTGGAATTTAAAAAAATTATGAAATTTTACTGATCGTAAAATTTTATTGTGGTAGTAGCTGAGCTGACAGTCTTGTTTAAAGTACTTCAAAGTGATACTTGAGTACAAGTATTGTACCGTAAATTAATTTGGTAAAAGTTTAATTCTCCTGTAAGATAGTAAAAGTCTTAAAGTATCTGAGCTTTACTGTATTGAAGTATCAAATGTATATATCTGACATAAAATGCACTTAAGTAATAAATGTAAAAGTATTTAGTAAATGTGAGCTGTTAGAATTTACAAAATGACATTTATTGAGAGGTGACCTCCCAAAAATATTTTTTTCCCCCTTAAGGCCATAATGACAGTACTGTTGTATTAAAACACTAAAGAGAATCTCGTCTAGCTGGAATATTAGATATAAACGTTTACTTCAACTATGAAAAACAAASTAAAAATACTGTAGGCTGTTGAGTTTTTCTAAATTTAAAAAATGATTTGTCACATGGACTTTGCCATGATATTTATGCTGCAAAGCATTCTGGGTAGATGATAATGTTCACTGGTGAGAGCTCTATGGAGAAGAAATGACTGAAACTGAGAATGTTGATGGAGGACAGCAGAGCTGCTTCATGGAAGGAGAGCCTCAGGCTGTAGCCGTTTAGCTTTCGCTAATATATACTGTATACTGGTGTGTCTCAGTTCATGGGTTGCARCTCACATATAGGCTGCTTACATCACCTCCCCGCGCCGTAGGCTGTCCCAATTCGTAGGCCCCTACTCATGCGGCTGACAAACCTCCCGAAAACGTGGGCTGCATCTGAGTATCCTACTGTCTGACGGTATCCCAGAATTCATTGTGCCGTCAGTAAATTAGACAGGAAAACAAAGACTGCTGAGTTTTTTAAATTTTACAGCCACATTTTTGCTGGTTTGTTTTGTTTTTGTCTTTACGGCGGCATTTGGAAATTTATCTCGGCCTGAAGAATTGGTATTTAAATGTAAGTTTAGTTACTTAGCTGAAGAAAGATTTGATGCAATGAGACGTTAAATAAAATGAAGTTACAAGTACTGGAACTAAACCCAAATCATTAGCATAATAGCATAATAACCTAAGTCATGACTTAGGTTATTATGCTATTAGGCTAACAAAATTATCAATATTTTTTATTTATTTACTGGTAACGTTTTTCTATTAAATCTGGATTTTGTGAAGTTTTGCTTTGAATTAACAAGTTTTTTGCCTCGTTACGAGGCAATGTCTTCTGTAGACTGGACCGTCTCATTTCACAGCTGTTTATGCAGTGCTAGCTCTCGAGCTAATAATATTTACTCTTTTTTCATTCAGGAAAAACTATAAAGTCCAAAAAAAATTACATCAATTATTGAATGAAAAGAGTGCAGAAAGAAGGGGGAAAAACATAAAATAAAATATGTAAGATAATCTTAGGCTAGCTTTATTATTGATAGACAGATAGATTGATTAACTTGAGCGCTAAAGCAAAAGCTGCACGGTCTGCTACGTCCTGCTCAGTGGCGTCACTAGGCCTGTTTTAGGGGGGTTGGAGCCCCCCTAAATTATTTTGGTGTAAAAAAGTATTCTTTTTACAAAAATTCAATATGATGTGGTCAGAATAAATAACTATTTAATATTTCATTA